AAAGGTCCTTATATTTTACTAACCACAATCATGTCCAAACCTGAAGAGAATTAAACTGTTCATGCCCAAACCTGTAATACTGACCACCACTATATACGGTTCACCTGGTCATTGGTATACAGTTAAACCTGTACTAGTGATTACCACTATAATAGGATCACCTGGCCATTGATATACAGTACATTCAAACTTGTACTATCACTGTGACTGCCTTTACCTGAGGACCACTTGGCCAATGTGTGCACAATGTTTGTGTCCCTCAGATCATTTTTCTGTCTATAGTGATGACCACCTGTTCACATTGACTAGATTTTAACAGCCCCTTTATAGTGGTCGTCGTGGATAGATTGTTACGTAAGCTGGAACGACCTGGCTTTAGGAGCGATTGCTTACTTTCATAGTGGAGCCCTTAGGAAGGTTGTCCTGCTTGGTAAACACGACAGACCCGACATCCTGGCCGATAGGCACGGCACCGACATCAGGGATGCCCTTCTTCACCGCCGTCATCACACCGTCAGACCGGAAGTACGTACTTTCTCCTTCCGGTGGTGCCTCCTCCAACAGTCTGTCTGCTGCCGCATCCAGCAGCTGCAGCAGATCTCTCGTTTCCCCAATCACCTGTGGTTTGGGGCAAATATGGAGTCCCAGTCAGCTGAATGGATTTGTGATAGTTGTATCTCTGTATCTGAATGGCACAGATTATCCCTGGCATTCCTAACTACGTTGTGCAATGGGAAAGGCACTTAACGCGACTTCCGTGTAAAACGGATACCTGGTTGAAGAGGTAAAGGCATTGGAAGGAGAGGCATGGACCCTGCCTTTTAAAACGAATACCTGACATTGGTTGGGGAGGTAAAGGGCAGTTGGAGGAGAGAGATGGGCTCTGCCTTCCAATACTGTGCCCTAGAAACAGTGCATTAATAACCCACTTAATTAAGCCTATTTTAACCTATAGCTAACTGGGCTACAAACTACCCTTTACCTTTTCCGACAGGGAGAAACTGGTACATACCCGGGCCTTGAGACGTTCTTGTTCCCTTTTCTCCTGTATCAGCTGTTCCATTGGTGACAGGTCGGTAGACTGGACGTCTATCAGATTCTCCAGCCCATCTGTGACGCCGGAGGAGAGGTCAAAGGTCGTCTCCTTGGCAACCGTCTCCCTGCTGCTGCTCTGAGCCCGCAGTACGGAGGAGGCCGCGTCAGTCACTTCTGTAGGTTTGGGAAGGAACATACAGTCAGCTACATGCGCGTGTAGATGATTGTAACACAAGCATTTATTAGTGCCTCTTCCGGATCCTGACGCTTTTAGCCCAATGGCACGTGGGTTTATTTATTTATTTCAAATGTTAGACCACACATTACACAGACTTACAGGCAGCAAAATCTGATGAACTTAAGTCTATCAGGATAACAGGTATAAACAGCTACAACTTACAGGACATAACAATATATATATATATATATATATGTATATAAACAGGTTTAGATCTATATCACACAAATCATGTAAATACTCTGAGTAAGTAAGTAAGTAATCGAAACTGCATGTATATTGCGTTTGAGGTCAAGATTAGGCAGAACTATATCATATATATGGGTGTAACTGAAAACTGAAAGAAATCAATGAAGTCAACTTAAATCTATCAGCAATAGACTAAGAGGGACAGGTGGAAGGTTTAAACCAGTCCGTAGATAAAATATAACTATGAAGAGCATCTGAAAGGTTTTTGTTCAAATCTGGGTTGGTTTACATTATAATCGTTTATTAATAATAACTTAGAACGATCCACCTTACTCTTTTCTAGTGAGTTGTGACGGCATGCTTTCCTTATTTGTTGGTTTTGTTCTTAGCAATCGATGCATTATAATCAGTTGCAGATTCACACTGCACATATATTGATATGCCAAATGATCTGCTAAGAAATTTGCTGATAGTTAGATCTACAGGTACTAGGTAAAGAGATACTAAGAAATTACGATAAATAAACGAATGTAAGAGAAGAAACGAACCTTGGAGAAGTTCCTTGCGATCTTCCAGAGACCCGCTGAAGTGGTTCACCTTCTCACTGAGGGTCTGGATAAGAAGTGGGATCTCCTCCTGAAGTTTAAGGAATTGTTACACACGATTGTAACAATTGATGCCACATCGTTAGAAAAGAACACAAAACATATGGAGCATGCAGATCATGCAAAGCAGCTGAAACAGGAGTTCGAAGATTTTCTTCCTGGAGGTATATGCAATCATCCGCTTCCTGAATTCTCCCATGTCTATATCTAAATCCTGTTGCCTCCTGTCATCCTGCCTGTTAATCTCTACCCACCCCTATCCACGTGCTGTCAACCTACTATGTCTGGACAGACACACAAACGCACACTAGCTCAGCCACCCCAAACATTCTTCCATACCTGAAAAATTAATATGGCATGCCGAATTTAGGAAAGTAGTATTTACCTCTATTAGAAATGGCGGTTGTGTTGACCATGCTTGAGTAGTGAGTAAAGCAGAAGGTTGAGGTGTACTGGGCACCAGGGTGGGGAGTGTGGTCGTGGGCGACATGCTCTCGGTGGAAAGTTCGTCATCCAAGTAATCAGAGGATTCTCCATCATCAAGTTCTGTGGTGAAAAGGACGAAATTTCACACGCATTCCACACCTACATCACTTCAACAAACCGTTTCTAGGCACTTCCAGCTGTTCCTTCTAGCCTTGTACCCTTGTTATTTATGTACCAATTTTCTCTTATGAGGTAGTCAAATTTTCAAATGCGGTATTTTTACTATGTATATATATATGTACTTAATTACTTAGAACTTAATTACTTAATTAGAACTTAATTACTTACTTATGATTGTTCTTGTATTTTCACACTGTAGTTGAAATTATGTGCCCTATGTGTTTTGTCCATATATGTTTACTCTCTAATATCAGCTTTACTGCCTTGGGAGTCAGTGTAATGTCTTGTTGCATTTTTTCAATAAATAAATGAAAAGGACGAAATTATCAGAAGGCTTAGTAAAATGATCAGAATGTTGGGAAGACGTTTTATACTCCCAAAGCATGGTTCTTTTCTAATCACTGCGTCAGTCATCTACTTGGAAAAGAAATTTCCATTATATCTTCAAATTAATCATAAATTTACAAAACAGGCTTCGCATACCTCCAAAGACAAAACGCGTTGTTGTCTTTCTGACGGCTGTTGTTGAGCTTGTTGTAGGCATCAGATACATGGTGGAAGTGTCTTGGTTCGTGATACGAGCTGAAGTAGTCAGGGTTGTAGTTGCAGTTGTAATAGGAGTTGTAGCAGGCGTTGTAGTTACAGTTGTTGATGTTGTTGTTGAATGTTCTGCGAGAAAGATGAGAATGTAAGTGCATTAGCATTCTACCTGTAGGTCCGAGTGTCACTTGATATTGCCACTTGTTACTTCCGATATGGAGGTAATGTTTTGTGTGCTGAGCTTTGAATTTGGTTTTAGATAGAGTAGGTTGGCAGCACGTGGGTTGGGGAAGATTGACAGGCAGAATGACAAGAGCTCAAATGATTAGACACAGGGGTCAACCTGAAGATCAGGCAATACAAGATACTAGTACATCCCGGAAGCCTGAAATCTCCGATTCCTTCTCAAGCTCTAGTTTTAGTGTTAACTAAACTAAACTAAATCGAATGTCTCTCATCTCTATACATTTGATAAGTTCTGTTTTGGTATAAGAAGGCGCCAAATCGTCATTTCTTGAGCAATCGTGTGGCGATCTGCGCACAAAACGATAATGTGTAAGATGGTTACTGATGTTTTGGAGCAAAATAAGCTTTTATATTTCAGTGGTAGCCTTTATTTCGTACCTTCAGGTAGGCAGAAAAGGTCCGGTTCTGTCCATGACCCATCTGCCGCGCACGTTCTGGTTATGGCGTCACCGGAAGTGACGTAATATCCCGGGGAACATGGGTAGGTGCAGTTCTCCCCCGGCAGATAGGGGCAGTCACACACGGGCCCGGTGGTGTTAGCTTGGAGAGGTGGGTCAACACAAACTCCTGGAAATCCATCTATAAAGATGGGAAATTTTGTGATTATTTATTTGTTGCAAATTATTGAATGTCCTACAGCCAATTAAAAAGACAAGAAATTTAAGAATCATATGATTAGTTTTTTACTGCTAAGATCTGAATCTACCTTCTAAACTTGGCAATGGAAGACAAAAAATCCTATTTGTTGTCACAGTGTAAATCTATGAGCTTCTGTGTATTTTTTTTAGTCCTAAAACGCGGAAAATGCAATTCAATCATTTTGTTTTCTTTGTAGAAAGTAATCATTTGCCTGTGTACCCCATATCAATCTGCAATATCTGCAAAGTTTTACCTTGTGTACAGTTGAACTTAAACTCTCCTGGAACATTCTTGGTCGCGTACCCTACACGGCTGATGTCAGTGATGAAAGGCTGAGGGTCTGTCCAGCTCATGAAGGGCTCGACATCTCCACTCCTGCCGACACCAAAACTCCCGCCTTTCGACCAGCAGATCCAGAACCGTCGGAACTCTTCAGACGAAGTCATGTCTGAGCAGCAAAAGCAACATTTACCACCAAGCACAGGAATAGAAATGACAAAATCTCAAAGCTTGATACCATTTTATAGACTACTATACTATGCGAGAAATTTCGGACGTCGAACAGATTTGAGGTGCCATGGCAACGTTCAGATTGTTACCTAGTGTGTCCTCCCTTGCAACTCCCGCACGTTGACTGCCGACTCTCTGGCTAGTAGACGTTCCGGATTTGATTTCTATACGGTATCCGACCGATCCCGGCGTTTCTAGGCGAATGACCACACCTGCCCCACTGGTGTTGACCTTGACCTCAAAGATGAAGGGCGTGGAGACGACGAGAGGAAGATCTCTCGTCACTGGCCTGTGAACGCCATCGCCGAACTTCGTAATGGAACATGCTGATGGATAAAATAAACAGGGAAATAGTACAACCAGGAACAAGGAAATTTTGACATTATATATAGAGATTCTTTATTGACACAACAAAAAAGTACAAAGACTTTTGTGTGGTCTTCTACAACTTAACTAAGGCCACGCCGATTTAATTTTATGGATGACATCCTCTGAAGACCCCCAAACTAGTGCGCGCGGGCGAATAAAAAAAATTCCGGCCAAAAATAAAAATGCCACTGAACCACAGGAATACAAAGCTGGTATTGTGAATTCCCGACAGTACATAGTGACGTATACGACAAGCCGGCACATGCTGGCTTTTTGTGGAATTTATGAATCGGTACTACACTTATGTACTGAGTTCTTGAGTCGTGGAGCTTCGAATTCGATAGCTTGGGTGCTCGGCTGCGTTTTGTCGCTGACTAGCATGGACTACCCAGGCCTAGAGCCAGGCCAGAGCCTCGGTGGAGGTTATCTTATGCGGAAAGAAAGGTGAACAGCAATAGGCGCTTATCATTGTATAGTGTACAATCCATTATAAAATGGTGCTCATTTTCAATCATGTTTGGACAAAATGGACAGAACCTTTGGTCATTTGGTATTTTCTTGTATCGACCCATTTCTATGTTTAATTTATGACAACTAATTCTTAATTTTGTGATCGCTTTTCGGATATCTAGATTGTGTATACTTGAGAGGTATTGTTTTTGTCTATAATTTTCCTTTAATGCGGTATATATATATATAGAAGAAACACTACTCCCTCTGACAGCACATACTCATGTAGAAACTATATTGTAGCAACACACACGCAGAGACAGTCACTTTAAACACAACACACAACTTCTACTAACAGGATCTCTAAGAGGAAGTTAATTAAGGATATGGCTATTATATAAAGATGAACGCCAAGAACTACTCGATATTTTCCTTTTAGACAATATATGCAAGAAAATGTCAAAGCAGGACATGTTTAAACATTTGATGTCATATAAGAACGAATGTGTAGCAGACAAACTATGTAATTATGTTTCCAACTGTTTCAAAAAGAGAGAAGAAAGGGCAACTAACAGTAGATGTTAGGTAGTATATAGTATTGTTATAATGTATAAATTCCTAGCAATTAGCATTAGAATATAGCGTCCCAGTATGCAATACTCATGTTTTGCACGCTCCGTGTCCTCTTGTGCATTTAGCCCATCTGGGCAAGAACATGCAATAAAGATTCATATATATATATATAACTTCATGTGTCAGTTGCCTTCAATTTCCTTTGTATAAAGACGTCTTTATTCGTACCTTCAGGTTGGCAGAAAAGGTCCGGTTCTGTCCATGACCTATCTACCGTACATGTCCTGGTTATGGCGTCACCGGAAGTGACGTAATATCCTGGGGAACATGGGTAGGTGCAGTTCTCCCCCGGCAGATAAGGACAGTCACACACGGGCCCGATGGTGTTGGCTTGGGTGGGTGGGTGAACACAACCTCCTAAAAATGCAGATGAAGAGAAACAGAAGTTTTAAGACTCCTAATTTCATAAACTCCTATTTCATTTTATGGCTTCTGACAGTAATTATGTATAATTTGACAAAGGGATGGCAAGATTGTGCCACATAAAACGAGGGTGCAATCACAACACTTACCCAGCTGACAGATGAATCCACGAAAAATGCTGCACTTTGCATCAATCCAGAGGTTCTCATTACCGTAAATTGCAGCACAGTTTTCAATAGTGCCACTGCTCGGCTCATTCCGTCTCCAGTTGCTATAGCCGGAGGACACAAGAGTCTGTCCGTCTTCAAATATCCACTGGCCCTCTGTCTCGATATCAGTCAGCCCAATCCAACGTGTTTCACTGTCTACGAAGTCGTGTATGAAAGCGCTTGTGGCACTGTCCTTCGGCATGGCTAGCAGTGCTCCGTCTTCGGCACACCTCTGTCTAGCGCCAACGTAGTTTTTATACTCAGTAAAGGCCTTGTAGCAAACCCCGTTAAAACTAACGTAGCCTGGTATTGGACACACTGTAGCAAAAGAAAAAGTGGCTTGGTTACCAATAACTGACTCAATTTTAGTATGCCTGGCTGCCTCAGTGCTCAGGCCAGGATCTGACCCCTTGCTCCCCTCTGTCTGGTTTCTCCTTTTATCCCAGGACATAGTCTCAGCTTCCCTCAGGGTGAGCCCTGTGTCTGTTTGTATCTGGTCTTTCTACCTTTTGGGTGGTCTTCCCCGGGTCTGTTTTGTTATAACACCTGGTAGTATGCCTTATGAACTAAGGTGTTTAGTATAACTAGTATTGAATAACGACTAATGCAATTAGTGGTGTGAGTGTGTGGCGTAAGCTCAGAACCAAGAGAACAAAAACCTACTGTCAATACAGCAGCCAATAATCTCCACCCTCAAGGAGATAGCACCTTGCCATGACTGAGGATAGAAGCGCACATAACGGGCATCAATGGGGGTGTCCAGTAGGTTTGTTACAGGCGTGGTATTGTCAGTGTTGCCTGTAAACACCTGAAAGGTAAACGGATAATTCAGATGAGGGTCTTTATACTTAGTACAGGTCTTGATGGCCACAAAGTCTCCATGCATTCTGTCCAAGTATCAATAGTGTAGATTATATAGCTGATGGATCAAAAACGCCATGTTATACAAAAAGACCTGGAAACATTGTTTCATATGTCTTCCTGGTATTTGGGAAATTAATAGAAGAAAATATTTTGATATTCAAGATACCATTTCTGTGCCATCGCTGCCATTATATGTCGTCCAATTGGCCCCATCCGCACTGTACTGGAGTTTGTACGACTTCACCCATTGTGGATATGCCCATTGTTGGCCCTGGATAACGGTCCCAGTGACGCGCTTCATCTCCCCTAAATCCACCTGAAACACAATAGGTTTTTCAATATAGAACAAGTGTGGACGATCGGCCAAGTAACTAGGCTAGTAAACACGAGATCGAGAGGTCATGAGTTCGATTCCTGAAAGAATGGCATGAAGTTATACTGGAAAGTAGAAATGTAACATTTGCGAAACTTCATCTGGTCAAGACCAAGAAACTACTGCACTGTTCACTCTTACTTAAAGCTAAATACATTCATATGTGAGCAGGCTCTCCAACTCTGTTCTGCTACATAATGTATCCTAACATCACAGGGTGTTGATACAGAACTAGTCACCATGATGGCAGACGTCTGGTCGAGGTCATTGACTTTATTTGTTTGTTTGAATAATAAGAAAAAACTGAGCGAGAACAATATGTTTTCATTCTGTGAAGGTAAACATAAGAATCGATTTCAAAAAGCCACAACAAGATTTTCCCATACTGTCATGAAAGTTCATTTGTTTCACTTGACACTGTAAGGATTTTAGACACTGAACAAGACTATTTCTTGAGAGGGGTGAAGGAAGCCATTTACATCAGGGCCCATCACCCTACATTGAACCGCGACGGGGGCCGTCATCGTCTACCAGATACCTTTGACCCAGTGTTGACGTCACACTTCAAAGAAGCCAAGTGACAAGCTTCACTGGGTCAGTCTACTGAGGAAGACCAGAGTGACTGGTCGAAAGCTCTAAGTGAGAGAATTTTTTGTGTTGGACCAAAAGTTTTAACTTTAAACAAGATTTTTCCATGTATACCTACCTGCAGCCATTGTCCGATGTTGTTGCTACGCGGTACCCAGCAGCCCAAACCTGCTAGTCCGTGTAACCGTGCGTAGTAAGGCAAGTAATCATTACGTTTGGTCGAAGATGCCGTAATGTTGCCATCAGGTATGACACCAGACTCCATCCCAAGTGGAACCCGACAGACTGGGAAGGAAAGAGAATGATACCACATAAGTTACAAGGGAAACACAAACAGAGGCCCCTTGTCGGGAAACTTACATCGGGAAAACTGAGCGCTCACTAAAAACCAGGTTTGTAGAACATAGACGACCCAGTTCTGTTGCATCTTGAGGTGTCACAACACACCCACATAGAATCATCGGGACACACAGTGGATCTGGAGGGGGTCAGAATCTTGGATACAGAACAGGATTATTTCAAGAGAGGCATAAAAGAGGCCATATACATCAGGGCACTTCAACCATCGCTGAACCGGGACGGGGGCCGATATCGACTTCAATCTTTGACCCTTTGCTGACGTCACACGTGGGAAAAATCACGTGTCCACATCATTTGGGTAAGATAGCTGAGGACAGCCGATACACATACCATATATAGTAACTACTTACTAACGGTGACCACCGTTATATAGTAACTAATAAGCTAAGAGGCTCTCTTCACCTCCTAGGATGTGACCGTTATTAGTAACCTCACTGCTTTACTATAGAAAATAAACGGTCGGGTGTAGTCCTCGCGAGAGTTGTAAATCCGTCGCGAGATAATGCGAGACTAGACTTGCGGTTGGTTGCCGGCTTGGCTGAAATGGACGACAGACGGGACGGCCTGGCGATTTATATTTTCTCTTCATCTCTACTCTGACCTGGACCAATTCCTGGACCATTTATAGGCTACATATTCTGCAGGTTAGTCACTAGCTCACTGGACTCTCAGTCCTTGTTGTTTAAGTGCTAAACTCCGCGTTGCGTTGAGGCACGACTGGGCTGTTTTCTCTTCTTCGCAAATAGCCAGTGAATATGTTTGGATATGTTGCTAGCAGCCAAAAGAAGATTTCAGTAGTCAAATATCAACTGCCTATGTAATACATTTGATTTGGTAATGGTATATACGTATACGTAGGTGTGTGTCTGTATGTGTATTGGGGGTGGGGGGCGGCATTCAAATGTACGCGCGCCCGGGTGATTCCATTCCAGAATGGGGTTGGGCAGCTACTCTCCAAGCAGAGGTTTGGGTTTTGGGGGGGATTTCTAGCGTGTTTTTAGGCTTTTTTATCGGGGTTTCTCTTTTGCACTGAATTTTTTTCCCACCAAAGTTTGAAAACACGCTAAAAATACCCCCAAAACCCAAACGTCTGCTTGGATAGTATTGGGCAGCATCAAACTACTAGTACATGTATAATATATACGTTACACTGTAACTTGACTAGATGTAACGTTAGTATTATCAAGGAGCTTGGTATCATATTATGAAGGACATTACATCATTGACCATACATGTCACTAAGACAGCATTAGTTTGATTACGGGTTACTATTTCCCTATACACATGTATCTAAATAGAAAATAGAACATTTAATGTTTTTTAAATTCAAAATTCATGTATTTTGTCATAAAACAGATTCATGAGTTGCATTTTATTTCATGTTTCTCTGACCCTCATTCTGTTTATGCTAAACAGAGTTGTCACTCCCTAGTTATTAATTAAAGGGAAAGGATAAAGTAATTTCTCACCACTCATTATCATCCCCCATCAGGCATATTTTACTTCCATAACTATCCTCATCAAATTGGTACTGTGTTAGGTGTTATCCAAAGTTATACTATTAGCCTACAAAAAGGGAAAGCAAGTTTTTTTTTTACTGTAATATACTATGATACATTGAAACACAATCACTGTATTCAAGAGTTCATCAATCAAAGCAAGAAAAGCATTGTGGATGTTTTTAAAAAAGATCTACAACCTATTATATGTATGGCACTTACCAGGCTGATGTATCAGTAACTGACCCTGATAAAGGTAGTTTTGGAGTTACTGAAATGTCATGATGTGTAAATTGATATGTACCTACATGTATTTACCATGCGCATATGTATATTTGACATATGACATATGTATATTTGTTTCTGTCAATTTTTGTATTGTATTGTAGTACGCCGAAGCAGAGGAAATGGCAGTGGGTAGGATTGAGAGTCGCAACATGCAATACTGGGGAACCAGAAGGAGTCCCAATGGAACCGCTTCACATGCTGATGTACAAGGAATTTAAGCTGGGCTTCTAGTAGTTTTCTTTGCCCCAGTAAGTTACATTAACTTTGAAAATTACCTGCACCAGACACATTTTACCTGTACCACTCACTGTCACCCAGAACATAGGAATTATATAGATTACACAGAAAACTGGAAATCATTGCCAGGATTTCTTTTGAACTTAAAAGTAATACAATGTGAAAGTCAATGCAGCAAATAAAAATCCACATATGCCTACACTTTTATATAAAACTACTAGTAGTACCAGTGAGTGCAAGAAGGCTATTATTTAGTTTTAAAAAAAAGTGTTGATAAGATAACACATTTGACATATGTAGGCATGTCAGCTGATTTTTAGGTAAAATGACCTGACCACTTTCTGGTAATGTTGATGGTATATTGTATATACAATACACATGTACTGTTTACCTAGCATACCACAAATGATGTGTAATTTGTATAAAAGGTATTCTTGTATACTTTCAAATTGATAATTAACCTTGAATTGTACATTAACCTTTCTGAAGGCAAACCTTTCTGAAGGCAAACCTTTCTGAAGGCCTGTGTTATCTTTTATGACTAAATATAAATGGCAGCAGTTTTCATTAGTTCAAGTATCATATCCTTGCACAGAAGGTACCATGAACTTTATTGCTATTTTGTACACACTGTTTGCAATATATCAAACAATGAAATAGCAAAATACATAATGAGTATGGCTGTGCAGGTATCATTTTATCAGTCAATTTATAAACATTAAACAAATCTCCTTTGCCAAAAATGTACTTATGATGTCTTTGTGTCACACACTTTATCTTCAGGATTTGTTCTTCAGCTTCATCTCAATGAATATCCCTAGTCATCAAGCAAATTGACATATCAAGCTTTGTATGCAATTATTCCAGTACTTTTTGTCTTGAATATTGATGTACATGTATAGGTAATAGGCTTTTTAGCATATTGTAATAGAAATTTAATGAAAAAGCCTGAAGAGGCTCAGGGAGGAAACAATGGACTAGTTGCTGGCCTAGGCATTTATTGAAGGGAGG